GAAGAACAATATGAAAGAGACCAGACTCTTTTCAAATGCTTTTCAAATGCTTTGGATTTTTAAAATTTTATTTGGGGTGGTTTGTTTGGTTTTCTCAGGAGTTCATTTAGGGTGATGTTCTTCTGTTGTTTTCTTGTTTTGGTGGGGGTTTGTTTGTTTGGGAAGGGATGCTTATTTTTTCTTTTTTTTTTTTTTTAAATCCACGTTTATGATGGAGAGACTTAGACTGGCTCCTGCTCCAGACAGCTCATTTCAAATCAGAGGATCAAGGATGCCACTGGTCACTTCAGTAACACAAAACAATAACAGATCTTTATAATTAGGCAGTAAATACCCAAGAAATCAATTAGACAATAATTGAGCTGCCAACCACCATGATCTCTCACTTAAAAAGTAGCAAGTCACAAATGAGACAATTTTTAATGAGTTTTCCAGGGATTTATGTAGGTGAGCTGACTTTTCCACTGTGCTGATATCCTGTGATATAAAAATATTTTACATACAGATAATTGTGTTCTGCTGGCAAATATGGCTCAGGTATGTGGGACTCACATCCATCGTAATTTTCTGAGTCTACCAGTGTTAACAGATATGAATTCTAAAATTGATTAAGGTAGAAATTCCTGATTTGACAGCATTTTGAGTATCATGTCAGTCCTCCAATACAAAAATTCAAGTACAAAAAGGAATGGAGAAAAAAAATTATTGGCAGACCTTGAATTCCTCAGCACTGCCTCAAGCTACAGCCTTTTATGAAGATTTCTAACTGTAGGAGAAAGTGCCAGAGTAAGCTGCTTTTGCTAACGCTACAGAGAACCTAAATAATTAAGTTTAAATCAAAAGTCAAGCTTTGTAGGAAGTGGAGACCTACATCTCTCATATAACTCTAAAACATAATTATAGCAGAAATGTCCTTTTTTCACACAAGAAGGAAACTAAACTGCAAACAAGGTGGGCATGAGAAAGTATGCATTAAAAAAGAGCTTTGTTCAGGTTCTAGTGCACCTTCACTACAGATAATTTATGAGCATCCTCAGGCACCCAGCAGAATTTCATGTCTTCAAGAACTGAAACATGGGATAAACAGCGGGAAATGAATGCAGCAGGCAACTCAACAGCATGGGAGCAACAACCTCAGTCTCCACTTATGGCCTTGCAAACTGCAACTGTCAACAAAGCCACAATGAAAATATCTGAAAACATTGCACTGAAGCCCATCTTCTTTATCTTAGGTGGAAGATTCACATAAACACCATTTCCCTACAATGAGGATACACATCACAAATTTGAACACAGAGCCATGAATTACAGCACCATTGACTGATGTAGTGTTGTCCCCAAAAGCAGTAACCTGCAAGACTTGGGTATTAGAAAGGACAGAAGTTAAAACAACCCACTGAAGAAATTGCTTTCTTTGACTGTGAGGCTGATACTATAACCTAATAAAGCACTAGCTCTAAGGAAGAACACAGACCCCCACCAACACAAAAAACATGACAAATCAAATCTCAAAGACAAACCAAAATTTATTTAAAACAGCAAAAAAAAAAAGACAGTGCTACTGCCAAGATAGAAAAAAATTAGGGATTCTTTTACTCAATGTGACAAGGAATGCAATTTACAGCAGTTTACATTAATTCTGAGATCAGGTGGGGTTTTACAATGCTTCAATTGAAATGTACTTTCTGCAAGACAAACTGGTTCCCCTTCCCCTCCCCTTTTCAAAAGAACTGACAAAAATATCCTATAAAAAACATTTACAGAATTTTGAGACATGATTGAAACATGAACCACTGTCCAAAAGTCTGGAACTTTCCAAGAAGGTTAAGTCCTTTGTTGCTTCAACCAACCCTCAACGGAGGAGCTACAAGCACAACACCATCCCCTCTGACAAAGAGCATGGGAATATTCCTCTTGGTAGACTGTGAAGAAGGAAAGAGAAGTTTACATTTACAAAACATTCATTTCAATAATAAAAACACAACTGAAACAACTCCAACAAACACTCAATGTTCTGGCAAGCTAAAGAGATCAAAACAACTAACACCAAGTCTCTAGATGTCCTGTGTACTTTCATAAGTTTGTCCAAATCCTTTTAGAACTTGGTTCAAAACACAGCCAACAATAAACTACTTCAATAATATAACACAGTGTAGTTTTAAATAAAAAAAAAAAAACTGTGAGGATAAATTAACTCCTTTTTTAGTCCTTACTTTATAAATCTCTTCATAGGTTTCTTCATCAATTTCTATTGTAGTCACAGTTTCTTCCACATCACCCAAAATCATATTTAAGTGCTGATCATATGCCTGTAGAAATTAAGTTTAGTTTACTATGTTTTCCAAACTTCAAACATGAGTTTATTAAAATGAGAATTTTAGCAAGACTCTCAGACATAAACAGTTTAGTCTGACTTTGACCAAAACACAGCACTATCAGTTCTAGTTACAACTCAACACAAACATAAACAAATGAGAACTCTGCAGCAGGAAAAAGAATGCACGACATTTACATTTACTGAAACACCTGCAGGAAACAGCTCTGAAGCATTCTGTGAGAGCACTTACAAGACCTCAGAGACAGACAGACTTTGTTAACACTAAAGCAGCTCCACACTGCTGCCAGTCCAGCCTCCTGGAATTGATTTCCTGGGGCAACTCACAGGGTATGAAAGCTGCTTCTCATACAGTGCTACAAAACCTTGAACACACGTCCCAAAATCCTTACAAAAACACGTTGCAAACTACATGTGTCCCTCATGGATCCCTCATTATCTTTGTGTTCCCAAAGGAGCTGAGGCCCAGTTAACTCATGGGGTAATTGGTTCTCTTCCCCAGCAGAGCACAACACTCTGACTTAACAGAAAGCAAGAATCTGAGAACCCAGCTGAACACCTGTCCCATCACACCTCCCAGGGTGTGCCTTCAGGGATTCTTGTATGATAATGATGACCTCAGTCTAGAAGAGGCCTCAGGGTACATCACATGAAGAGGCCTGCAGCATTATTGCTTATTTCACAGAGAAATAGAAGCCAAAAGCAGTGAAATCAGTTGCTTGGTATCATTCAGGAGATAAGAAAAACAAAATACATCTCTTGATTTTCTAGTGAAGCAGTTAACAGCTGACAAAGTACTGAGGAAATGAGATTTTTTCACCAATCACATTACAGTAATGGCAACTACAGCAATTCTTAAGCTACTTCCTCCAACCACTTCTGCATTTTCAAGCATGAAATGCAATTACTCATGTTTAAAACTATTTTTTTCAACAACCAGTGGAATATTACAGGTAAATTTGTTTAACAGACTGTTGTACATAAAGAAAGCCTGCCCAGTGCTTAGCTGAATGAGCATGACAATGTTGTAAAGTTTTACTTACATGTAATCTGCCTCTAAGCTCTCTGTCATTCCTCATTTTGACATAGATTCGCTCATCTAGACTGAGTCTGATGAGATCAAGTGGCTCCTCTACAGTATTTGTTGTTTGTTGCTAAAAAAAAAAAAAAAGCATTATTTGTACAGAAGAAGCCAGTGAACTTTCCCATTCCTAAATTTTTGTGAGACATAGAAAACAAAGGAGTGAAAACACAGGTGCAAATACTTCAAATCATTCCATCACATCCTGGTGAACCTGAGTGCTGCTGATGTACCACTCCACTGACACTCACCAGCCCTGAGAAGTGTGAGTCAAAAGATTTCAGTTGTCTGCAGCAAATCATTCTTCACACACAGGGGGATTGAACGAGATGATCTTTAGGGTCCGTTCTAACACAATCCATTTTCTAACTCTGTGAACTCTTTTTCTTACCAGCAGCCACAGTTTACACTGCAGGAACCAGCAGCACAGCTGTGCCATGGCTCGGTGCAGCTGAATGAGCAGCACCCACACTGACAGTGGTGCCGGCACAGGGCAGTACCCGGGTGATAAAAATGGGAGCAGGCTCTCGGTACTAAAGTGATTTCAGCATTTATTATAAGAAAAAGAAAGGCCTAAAGCACGGGGGCCCGTGGGCCGAGCAGGAGCGTTCCCATCGAGGATGCTGCAGTGCTGGTGCTTCTTTTCAGCAGCGATGTCCCAGATGGAGACGCACACATTCAGCGGGTCAGAAGCCCCTTTTTATCCTGATTTTTGTCCCTTTGGGTTGATTTCTTTTTGGATTCTTCATTTGCATGAAGGTTTAAGGTGGTTGATTAGCCCATTACAGTTCTGTCCAGGCTGGCTCGTTTCACTTGGGGGGTGCTGCACTTTACTGAGGTACGTTGAGTACCCTATTTCTTATAACTACTCTTTTAACCTCTTTTACCACGACCAAACGAACAGTACGTGCTTAACGATCTATTAACTATTTTACAACAGCTTCTAAGCTATTTTTAACACGGGCACACACTCAGGGGCTCTCAGGCACCCTGCCCCGCACACTCCCCGCTGCCGAGCCCTCGCTGGGCCGCACAGCAGCCAGGCCGGGCCCCGAGGCTGCCGTGAAACCCCAACACACAGCGGCCTGAGGCCCCGTGGTGTGAGAAAGGCGCACTGCGAGGATCACAACTAAAAAAGGGTGAAGACCTTCTCCACATCTTCCGTATGTCATATATATCCCATATTTCCATTGTAGCTACCCCCGTCCTTCAGAGCCCAGCGTACTGCTCTCCGCAGCTTTCGCCCTTTCCCTCCCCCGACAGTGCCCGGGGTCAGCGGGCCCGCAGCGAGCCCTGCCCGCGCCCCGGCAGCGACACAAGCCCCGCGGCCGAGCGGGGATCTCCCCTCGCACGGGAAGCGCTCCCGGGGCCGCGCCTCACGGGGGACCCGGCCGCGCCCGGCCCGGCCCAGCCGCGCAGCCCGGAGCTGCCTCCCCTGCAGCCGCCGAAAGAGCTGAAAGAGCCGAGAGCCGCTCACCTGGTCCACCTCATCCGCCATCTTTCAAACCGCCTCCCGTGCCCGCCCGCGAGACTTTATGGCCCGGCCCCTTCCCCTTCCCTTCCCTCCCCTCCGTAGAGCGGGGCCGGGCCGGAGCTGCCCGAGCCCGCAGCGCCATGGCCAGAAAGCGCCGAGCATCGCCCCGGCCCGCGGCCGCCAAAAAGAGGCGCTCCGGGAGGCTGACAAAGGAGGAGAAGGAGGAGCAGGAGGAGGAGGAGGGTGAGTGCGGCAGGGAAGCCGTGGCGGGCCGGAGCTGCGCCACCGCCGCCGCTCGGGCCGCTCCGGCCGCGGGGTCGGGGACAGCGGTGCCAGCGCACCTCGGGAAGGACGGGCACGCCGGGCTGGAGGGCGGCTGTTATCGGCGGGGTTATCGGCTGTGTTTGTTATCGGCTGTGGGATCAGTGCCCCAGATCCTGGGCGTTAAACCCGTTTGAGGCGGGCTCTGCACGCTGCAAAGGCTGAGCAGCCCGTGCAGGGTTGTTTCATCTCGGCCGCGCTCTCCTGAGCAGCGTCCCGCCGCAGTAAGTTGTTGAGAGTGGCATGCACGATTTGGTTTTCTGCCGATTCCATCGGTAGGACTACAGGAATCTTTAAGTACTTGTGAGTTACGTAAGTATTTCCCTCCAGATAGTCTCACTGTTCACATCCTGCCTATTTGTAAACAGTGACATGCTCAGCATTATGAGTACTCGCGTTCTTCTGAAGATGCCTCTGATGAAGTCCATGGAGACGTTGTTTCAGATTGCTGTGGAGATGAAACTCCATCCTTTAACATTAATCTTCATTTCTTTTGTAACATGCAGATGATTTTGAAGAGAAAAAGCCCAGTATAAAAAAGACCTTAAAAGCTCCAGCAAGGAAAAAGGGAGATGATTGTGATACTGAAGTTTCCAATTCAGCAAAAACTTCCAAACCTTCAAAACAAGAGGCAAAATCACAAGTAAAAGAAAGTAAAAAGAATGCTAGAAATAAAGAGAATTGTATCAAAGAGGAAACATGCAGGTAAATTTATTTCTCATTCAAGTCTATAAGACCTTTTTCTTATTATTATTTCTTTCTGTGGTTTGATTGTCAAATACTCAGTCTGTCGTTACTGATGCAGAGGTCATGCTTGATTTATTTCCCTATTTTTAGTCTTTGATAAACAAGCACCTCTGTTTCCTGATGCTACCACTGTTTTGATGATTTTAACAGTGACTCACTGAAGCATCCTCAGAAGGAGATGAAATTAAAGACAGAATCTCCTGTTAAAAAAGAGACGGATGAAGAAAATACTGACAACGATGATGATGACGATGAAAGTGAAGATGAGTGGGAGGATGTGGAAGGTAACAATTGCATATTTTTTCATGTTGAGCACTTTTTAAGTGCTCGTGATTCTTCAACAGCAGGTGTCCAGCATCCCACAGTTATTTGAAATTACTTGGCACACACAGTGTTATGGAAGATCCAAGAGCTCACAGTTACTGGATGTGCTCTATTTAAACTTGTTTGAACACTTGAGAAGGAAAACATAGGTTTTATCCAATCATCAGTCTTCCCTGGTAATCTATTCCATGGTTACTTATAATTTAATATTTTATTTTACAGAACTTCAGGAACCTGCTACAGATAAGTTAGAAGAAGCTGCTGCTCTTCCATCAGTGGGGCTGCCAAGCAATCCTGTCGAGATAGAGATTGAAACCCCAGAGCAGGCGAAGAAAAGAGAGAGGAGGTAAGAACAAGGAGGTGGTGGAGGGCTGCTATAGGCTGAAGTGAAAAATACTCCAAGTCTTGACTGTCACTGACTTGCTGTGTGCAAGGTGAAAATCCTCACTTGGTGCAGACCATTGAGTTGGAATGATGGAGGGTTGTGGGAAGAAGAACAGTTTACACACTGACAGTTCTATCTAAAATCTTCAGTGGAAATTGACAGGAATGGAGGAGGCTTTTCAGCTTCCTTGAAAATCAAGGGTGTAACTTCGCTGTGTTTTACTGTCTCCATTTCTGTGAAGAGACAGCAGGAGATCTCTGCAAGGAGAGCTATGGGTGAATGACATTGTGTTACTGCAAACCCTTAACAGCCTGCTCACTTAGCCAGTCACTAAACCTTTCCTTAAGTGTGCACAGAAGATTCTCTGGGATGGATTCTCTCTGTGAGCTGACCCAGTTCAGGAATCAAGAAAGGCAGGTCCACAGAAATCCCATAACATCCCTTTCTTTTGTAATCTTCTGCAGAGAAAAAAGAAAAGCTGAGTTTGAGATGTACCTTCGGAGAATGATGAAACGTTTCAGCAAGGAGGTTCGTGAGGACACACATAAGGTATTTGTCACAGAGAACCATGGCAGGGAAGAAATTGAGCATAAAGGTGTCTGAACTGATTTGTAATCAAAAGAAACTAATTTTTATAAAATAGTTAGAATGGCTAGAAATGAAAAAATAAAAAATCTGTAGTCCTGACAAATGCTCATTAAGCTTCCTCTTAAACTATGAATTGGAAACACCAGTGCCTGTGTTAGTAAAATCCTGACTCAAAGCATATGTGAGTAGGATGTATATTTATCCATAGAGGGATATCTTCTCATTGTGTTGGGATTAAACTGCCAGATGTGTAGAGCAGGAGACACTTGCAAAGACTTCAGTGCTTTGCTGTTTTCTGAAGACAGCACTGAGAGTGCTTGGGAGGCTTCATTGTCACTTCTCTCTGTTAAAAGGAGCAGTGAAGTATTCCTTGTCCTTTTCCAATAAGGAAAATCTCTTGTGAACTCACTTTTAAACTCTTCTCTCTCAGGTTCACTTGCTGTGTTTATTGGCAAATGGTTTCTATAGGAACAGAGTCTGCAGCCAGCCAGATCTCCTCGCCATCGCTCTGTCCATCGTCCCCGCGCGCTTCACCCAGGTGCTTGCAGGCCAAGTGGGCCTTGTCTACCTTTCCAACCTGGTGAAATGGTAAAACTCCCTTCTGATGGAAAGTAGAGCACAGGTTCAGGGAGAGGGGTAACTGTAACTAGCAACTTTCTGTGGGTTTTTTAAAATTTGTGTACAAGGGTGAGCGGGGCTGTCCTTTTTAGAGAAGGAGAGGGTGAACTCAGAAGTTTAGGAGTACAGTCACAAACACTGGATAATAAGCAGATGTCTTGTATTTCAGGTTTGTTGGAACCTTCACTGTCAATGATGAGCTTTCCACTGAAAAAGGAGAGCCCCTTCAGTCAACACTGGAGAGGAGGTTTGCCATCTATGCTGCACAGGATGAGGAGGAGCTTGTTCATGTAAGAGACTGGGAAGTGCAGGGTTGGTTGGTTGGTGAGTTCGGATGCTGTGTCATACACAAAGTGGTGGGAGGAGTGGATTTGAAGAAAGCAGATTGGTGACTTAAGTGATTCTGTAGCTTTTTATTTTCTTGTATTTTTATCTCAAGACCTCCTGTGATTAAATGACTCAATTTAAATTGTTTTGCAGATATTTTTAATTATTCTGCGAGCTTTACAGCTGCTGTGTCGCCTTGTGCTGTCTTTTCAGCCTATTCCTCTCAAGGAGACAAGACCAAAGGTAGATTTGTTGTTTGTGTGGAATAAGGAATAGGTCACTGATTTAGTAGGATTAAAAAAACTTTCTGGCTATTATAGCTTGCAGTGAATCACTTACTGCATGAACCAAGGTTCTGTCTACATTGCAGAAAGTGCGCACCCTTAATTTTTAATTTTTTTCTTTAAAAAAGCCACTAATTTCTGTGTTTCAGCAAAGATTTCTTAACGTTTCATTGGGTTTACATTTCTTTAAAACTTACATGGCAACTCTTGCTGCATGAGTACACCTCTCTGCAGCCTGTTGCCTGAAGTTTTCAAATGAATTGACTGTGTCTGCCAACCTTTGATCTGCATGAACCTTGGGCTGATTTCAGTCTTTTTTTTACCATATTCTTAGCTGTGGTGATAAAAGTGACCTGGCCTGTTTCCCTGCAGGGAAAGAGCTCATCCAAGAGGCTGTCTCACAGCAGCACCTCTGAGGGACAGGAGAGTTTTGCCACAACACCCAAAGCTGTGGCAAAAGCGTGCCCCTGCAAAAAAGCCAAGCAGGACGAGAAATCCTCAGAGGGCAAAGAAAACAACAAGGAGCCAAAGAAACCTAAAACTGCCCAGACCAAAAGGACACAAAAGTCAAAGCTGACTAAAGGTAGCCAGGAACAGAAGGAATCAAACAATGAGAGCAGTCCAGCAGAAAAAGATGTGCCAGTCAGGCCCAAGAACGACCGCCGGAGACGAGTGGCCTCCAAAGTGTGTTACAAGGAAGAGAGTGGAAGTGATGAGGGCAGTGCTTCAGACTTTGAGCTTTCAGAGGAGGAGAGTGATGTCTCTGATGAGGATTTTGAAAGTGTCCCTAAGAGGCGGAGGAGCTCACAGGCATCCCAGAATTCAAAACTGACAGCTGTGAAAAGGTCAAAAACTGAGACTTCAGAAACAAGGCAATCAGAAAATTTGTGTGGAGCTGAGACGAAGTCAGCAAAAAGTACAACTCCAGCCTTGCCTCAAGCAAAGAAGAAGAGAAACAAAATCATTTCTAGTGATGAGGATGAAGGACAGCAGGAAGTGAGGAAAGCCATGGGCACAGACCAGTGGCTGGAGGTTTTCCTTGAGCCTGAGGACAAGTGGGTTTGTGTAGACTGTGTTCATGGCAATGTGGGCCAGCCCCAGCTGTGCTTTGCACATGCCACAAAGCCACTTTTCTACGTTGTGGGGTTTGACAACGATGGGAGTGTCAGGGATGTGACACAAAGATATGACCCAGTGTGGATGACCTCAACAAGGAAGAGCCGTGTGGACCCAGAGTGGTGGGAAGAGACACTGCAGCCCTATGAAAGTCCCCATGTGGAGAGAGACAAGAAGGAAGAAAATGAGGTAAATCACAGTAGGTTGTTCAGGACATGTAGTGCCAGGAGTCCAGTCCCTGGATCCTCATTCTGGCAAAAAGCATTAGAAGTCTCTTTCCATGAGGAAGGAGGTTTGTATTTGAACTTGAAATGTTGAGATTGAATAAAAGGGAATATGCAGTGGTAAATTGAAATAATATGAAATGATGGGGGTTGTTCAGACAAGTTTGCATAGCAGAAGAACTGCACAGCTTGTGCTGGAAACTTAGTAGTGAGGTTTGTGTAGTGTTTAGCATTACTCTTCTCAGAGATAGTTTTTGAAGTACATAGGTCAGGGTACACATCTAAGTACTTATTTGCAAGAGTGTTTTGGTCTGTTGGCTCCTCTGCTAAGTTTCTGGTGGTTTTTTCCTTTGATTCATTCTTATTTTCTTGCAGAGGGTGGTGAAAAAGTTGTGAAATCACTCTTTTCTGTATAATTCTTGCAGTTTCAAGTGAAGCTTCAAGATCAGCCTCTACCAACAGCAATTGGAGAGTACAAAAACCACCCTCTCTATGCACTGAAGAGGCACCTCTTGAAATTCCAGGCCATCTATCCTGAGACAGCTGCTATCTTGGGGTACTGCAGGGGAGAGGCTGTCTACTCCAGGTGAGTTGTGCATCTAAATATCACCTGCATGTGTGATCTTTGTAACAAACTGGAGAGCTAATTTGCATGATGGTATCAGCAGTAGTCTCAGGCCTCATGCATAAACAGGTGAGGCACTTAGCTGCTCTGACAGCATTTGTGTATCACTAAGATACAGCTTTTTTATTATTCCTAATATAAGTTTATTGTGGATCTGTTATGAATGACTTGGAAACTCTTGCATTTGCTTCTTTCTGGCCTTTTCAGAGACTGCATACACACGCTGCATTCCAGGGACACTTGGCTGAAGCAAGCTCGAGTGGTGAGGATTGGAGAAGTGCCTTACAAGGTAAGAGGCTTTGACTTCCTCCTGTGCAATCCATCTGCCCTCTAAAGCTCAAGCCCAGTTCTGTTTTGGTTTCTGTCTTCTGCTGGTTTCACACGTGCTTGCATGGTTTGTGGTAGCTGTGCTGTCTGCCTGTTGTGCCTATAGTTCCTACATCCTGCCCAAAGCCCAGCTTTGTTTTTTTCCCCACCCCAAGGGTATCTGGCAGAACTGTTCCCTTTTCACCTTCTCCAGAGGCATCCCAGTGTTTTATGTGCACTGCTGGATCTCTGCCTGTGGCTTACAGGTGCCAAGAGTTGTCATTTATAGGCAATGGATATTGAAGCTAGGAAATAGCATTTCTGCTCTCCCAGAACTTTCTCCTTTGGTGTCCTAGGAAAACCTGAAAACTGTCAGCTTCTTGTGATGTTCCAGGCCTGGCTGTTGTATTTGCAGATGGTGAAAGGATTTTCCAGCCGGGCGAGGAAGGCGCGCCTGGCAGAGCCGGCCAACCGGGACCGGGAGGACCTGGCGCTGTTCGGCCGCTGGCAGACTGAGGAGTATCAGCCTCCCATAGCAGTGGATGGAAAGGTAGCTGGGAAAGCAGAGGGCTGCTGCTAAAGGAAGGGGTTTGTGTGGAGCTCTGAGCTTTGTTTATCCAGAAGTTGTACGTTTCAGACGTGAATATCTGTAATATCTGGATTCAGGATTAACAGTTCATAGGTAAATGTTCACAGGAGGAAATAGTCAAAGCTTTACTGAGGCCTTTCTCTCACAAGTACTCACTTGAAAGGTAGTGATTGCAGACTGCTAAAGTCAACATTTTGTTGATCTGATCTTCCTAGCCTTGTTTTGCCTTGCTAATTCTCTGCATTACAGCCTGAGTAGCAAAGCTTGGGCAGAGGACATAGCTAGGAGATAACCATGCAGCCAAAATCTAGGCTTGTACCTTGTCATGTGAATATTAATTGAATACTGGAGTGGAATATAGCAGGCCAGGAGGGGAGAGTCCCTAGGTTGCATCAGGTATTTTCACCTCTCTCCAGAAAGCAGGATTATCACCATCTCTCTTTAATCTTGCCATAACAGGTTCCTCGGAATGAATATGGAAATGTGTATCTCTTCTTGCCATCCATGTTACCTGTGGGCTGTGTGCAGCTGAAACTGCCAAACCTCAACAGAGTGGCACGGAAGTTGAACATTGACTGTGCTCAAGCCATCACTGGATTTGATTTTCATGGAGGCTACTCACACCCAGTGTATGTAAAAGCTGCTTGGTTGCACCTGTCAGGTGTTGATTTCCTGCAGAATTTGTGTATCTAGTGTTAAAGGGAACACCTGAGCTGTTGTAGGTACTTTGAGACAGACAGTAGCTTTTGGGCTGGGTCAGCAGACATTTGCTGCCTTGCTTTTGCCTTCTTACAGCTGACTGAGGATTGTGTTCTCCTTCCTAGTACTGATGGCTATGTGGTGTGTGAGGAGTATAAAGAGGTCCTTGTTGCTGCCTGGGAGAATGAACAAGCAGAAATAGAAAAGAAGGAGAAGGAGGTGAGAATTATTTTTGCAGCTTCCTTATTGTTATATTTACAAAGTAAATTTCATTGAAACTGGGCAGTCAAACAGAGTGGGCTGTGTAAGCAACAAGCACGAGGCTTTTTTGATGACAGTTTAAAAATCTTAAAGCTTTCCTATTCTGTGTGCATAGATACATTGAAACTCACAGTAGTAAATTTTTCCCTTTCCCATAACAATCTCCCACAGAAACGTGAGAAAAGAGCTCTGGGGAATTGGAAGCTGCTGACAAAAGGACTTCTCATCAGAGAGAGACTGAAGCAACGCTACTCCATCAAGGTATCTTGCATTTCTATTAGTCATTTCTTTTTCTAGAGGTTATTTTAACTGTAGAATAAAATTTCCAGACTGTAGTTGCTCAAAAATCTTCAGCTAGTCACAAAAGCTAGGCCAGAAGTTCAGTGTGGTCATGTTCATCAAAGATTTGTTACTGTTTAAAAAGGAATGAATGCTTTTAATTTTATTACTATTTTCTGTTTTGTCATTCCCCTTCCTAGATTCATTCCTTTAAGCCAAGCATGTAGCTAACAGATGGAGAGTAGGGCACTTTTTCTTTTAGTTAGATGTTTTAGTTCTTAAATTTTTTTGCAAGAAGATGAAAAGCCTGATCTTTTTAAAACAGGTTGATTTTATGCTTCTGTTGTCAAAAATGCTTGTGTTGCAAGCATGTTTGGTGTTGAGAAATATAAGCACTTTGGGTGGGAAGCTCAAACCAGCGCAAGCAACTTCTGTAAGGTCACTCAGTGTCACTGTGACCAAAGACAAGCCCTTTTAGAAAGGGGCAGTTACAAGTGATTCTTAGAGTGACTTTCTGATTTTCACACCTGTTTTTTCCAGACTGAGCCATCAGCACCTGAGACAGAGAAAGGAGGGGGATTCTCCTCTGATGAAGAAGGAGCTCCGAGCTCAGAGAGCACAGTGGGGAACACAGCCATGTATTGGCCCCAGAACCGCCAGCTGGAGAAACAAGAAGAGATAAAAACCAAAAAGAGCAAGCGAGAGAAGAGAGGAGAAGCAGCTCAGTTGTTCCCTTTTGAGAAATTGTGATCACAAGCTTTCCTTTGGTGTTCTCAGGTGCAGGAAATATAGTCATTATAAAAGTATCCTTCACCAGTTAGGGCCTTGGGCTCTTCCTCTGCACTTGTATTTCTGAGCAGGCAGGGACCAACCTAATTCAGTGTCCAGTTTCCTTTGAGATCACAGGTATCACTTGGGTATCAGATTCTTCCTTTTGTCCTTAGACTTGGGAGAAGAGCTGCACTTCCCAAGATCACTTTGCTTTGTTGGGGTTTTTGGTCTCTTTTGTATCACTCAGCACTAGTAGTTGAGTTTCCTGAGGCACTCCTGTCATCAACAGTCTCATTTCCCATTTTTCTTGTTTTCATTTTTCCTGCTTGCTCAGAACTAAAGCATCCAGCTGCTTTTTATGTCTGCAGAGAGGTGGCCAAAGGAATGCTGATGCCTCCTTTGATCCATAGCTTACCCAAATCAGTGGTGAGGTAGAGTTCTGGCCTGTCTCAAGGGGGAAACACTTCCTTTGAGGTCTAAAACAAACCCCGAAAATCAGAATATGGAAGAATTAGTATTTTCTAAAGAGTACTTGCATTTTGTAATGTAAGTTTGGCTTTTGAGCCTGCCATCTTTATTTGCTCTCAGAAATCTTGTGCTGTGGAAGGGAGAAGCCCTGTCCTTATTACCAGCTTAGGCTTCAATATGTCTTCTTAAGCAATTTGAATATATACATATTTGCTTCTGTTGCTTATCAAGATCCTGTTCTGGAGCAAAACACATAAAACTGGCTAAATCTCACTGATGGAACAAAATTCACTAGAACCACAGAATTGTTATCCAGTACCATAGCATTAAAAATCTGTTGAGAGAGGAATATTAAATCTACATAAGCTTTTGTTGCACTTTTGTAGTAGAAATACTGATCTGTCTTTGGCAGTATGTATCTAAAGACCACTGACACAGTCTCTTCAAAAATGGAGGGGAAAATAATTTAGACATTGTCACAGAGTAGGAGATGTAAGAAAATGGCTTTCATGTAACTATGTTCAGAAGAAAATCTATTTTTGTACTGTATTTGTAGATCAAAATAAAGTTTGAAAAAAATAGTATGGTGTCTGTTTTTGGAATACACAGGTAACTCCCAGTCTCCTTAAAACACAAGGGGCTGTAACAGTCAGGTTGATTCATTATATTTTTCCAATGATCTTAGAGAGGCAAGGAAGTGACTTGACTTCTTTGGTCAGTAATGGGAAATAAATCCATGTCAGGCTGGCAGCAGTACACAGGCCAGAGAGCAGCTTCCCAAACCAGGAATATTTGCAGGAAAATAAAACCCAACAATAGGAAACTAGTTCTTGCGGAAGCTACAAACTACCTGGACATTACATTATTCCTGGATATAAAACATGCAATACTTGAATTTAATAATAAAGCCTACAGACCAACCTTTGGAAAACAGTATTTTATTAAATATACAAAAGCTCAGCACTTCAGTAGAAAATTGTCACTTCATTTCCAATAAGTAATGCTGGTTAGCATTCTGCATCATGGGCAAAACAGCAGCAGTTCAAAACCAGTTTCTCTCCCCTGTGGAGCACAATTGCTGACTGCTGGAGCATGAGCAGGTGTTCTGAGCAGCAGGAAGGCTGTGCAGCACCACTGCCACACACCAGGCATGCACCAGGCCAGCTCCTGTACCTGCCCTTTCACTCCCTGCTTGTTTTACCAAGGCAGAGCTGTGAGACCAAACTGACTATTCAAATACCAAAAGAATGAGAGTAATTAGGACTAAAAAAGTCAATACTAATTCTCAAAACATTTATGATTTCTCACTCAGATTTCTATTTCAGTATCACTTCTAGCAAACGTTTACTTCTGTGTATGTTCAAGTCAAATTCCTTTGGTACAGAGAACACTCCTCTGATGGTCATAAATAGATTTCATAATAGAAAACATTATTTTTGTACTGAACTGTGTATACTTACAAAAACCCCAAAACAGTAGTGTAGGGGGCTCCATCTGGAAGCCAGACTCTAGCTTGCTGGAGAGACTTAAGGGTGTCTCTAACCTCAAGTACTGGTTACAGCAGATAAACATGAGCCATCACAACACTACAAGGCATTCCTCTAACAAGATGCAAAACTACCAATTTAGGCTACTAAAATCCATGAAAACTAATAAGGCAAAAATGTTTCCATTGCTTAATTTCACAGAGTATGTTCATTGTCCTTACTAAGTGAAATTAAAGAAAGGAACAGTATACACAGCCAAAAAACCCCCAACTATTTTAGACTACACATTCGGTTATAAAAGTCAATGTTGTTTCAAGGCAGTAGGTTTTTTATTTACACGTGAATGACCTGTTAGTACCCTTTTAAGTGCAATTTGAAGTGAAATTTTTGAAACTGTTCTGATACAGTCCAGGCTATAATTTTGGATGCTTAACCAAAACCAAGTTCAGACACTTAAAACCTGGGGGAAATCAATGTGTCCTGATAAATCTGCCCAACCTCAGAGCACTGCTAACCTGGCCACTCATTGCATCAATGACTTTGAAAATCCTCAGTCCAAAAGCAGAGTTTACATGAGTATTCTGTGGAATTCACCTAAGCTATGTTTTCCCTTTGAACATATGCACTGCCAAACACACCAGCCAAAGGAGTGTTCCTGACTGTGCAAACCAGGAAAGGCAGCAGAGGGAGGGTTTGTCAGAGGCAGGCAGGCACACGCATTTCCCAAGGACATGTAACCAGGGTCCATGGGATGCAGCTGGCACTTTCTCCCAAACACACAAGGTGCCCCACCCAGCAAGGACTTGCCAGTTCCCAAATCAGGGGGAATTACTAAGCAGTAAGAGGTATAAATCTGCTTGTTCACTAACTCACCATCAATACCCACACCTAAAATGCTTTTTCCCCCAAAGCTGGTGTCACTGACTTCCCACAAACAGCATCCTATAGTCCTGTGGATAACATGTACCAATAATCCCACCCAAGCCCCCTCCCCAGCTTTCAGTGCTCGCTGCTGAGCTGTGATTTGCTGTAAGCTTGCTGCAGGAACCGGGCAGAAATGCACTTGGGAAGGTTCTAACCAGGACTCAGCTCAAGACCAGAGCACCTCCTTGTCACTGCTGCTTCTTGGGCAGAACACGGGTCCTGGCCACCAGGATGGGGACAGCGGAGAGCAGCATCAGGAGCAGGGCCCAGAGCGGGCGGTAGAAGAGCCAGCCCACGGAGATGGTGAGCAGGGACAGCGAGCTGGCCACACACACCGCAAACACCTTCAGGCCAACGCTCACCAGCTCCCTCACCACGGGAAACCAGTCCACTGCAGGGAGAATGAAACATGGCATGCAGCAGTTGGCAAGATGACAGTTTACAAAGAAGTCTGATTCATGCCTAGGATGTGCACCCTAACAGCTGCAATCACAAAACAGACTCAAATTATTTATCCAGTGTCACAGACATTTTTTCATAGAAATCCTTTCTTTGGGACTTGTTCATCTTCTGGGAAGCTGAGGCTCCAGAAAGAGAATGTAAACAATGATTATCAGCTGCTGTGGAATGCAATAGGATGCACCTGTGATTGGTTCATGTCCCATGTGTACAATTAAGGGCCAATCACAGGGCAAGCTCTCTGGAACACAGTGACACAGAACTCTCTTGTTTTTGGGATTCTTTTCTATGTTATTCTTAGGTTAGCAGCCTCTACAACTTCTCTCCTTATTCTTTTTAGTATAGTAATAATGTATTATATATCATATATCAATAAATCCAGCCTTCTGATCATCAAACAAGATTCTCATCCTTCTCTCACCCTGGAGACCTTCCTCAGGTCGCTGTAATAATCTAGAGCACTGGATTAGGCACTTCAGCAGAGCATCATCAAGACACTTGATCATTAAGCAACAGTTAAACATATAAGGCAATGCTATCCTCATCTCTTCACACAGGAAGTAATCCAAAATGAAGTCTGAAGATTTGTCCAAGGCTTGAGAGGCAGAGGAGACAGACAACCCTGCAGCTATAGAGCAAGTCTAGGGCAACTGGTACAAGCTGCTAGCACAAGAATTCCTTTCTGGCAATAATAAATCTTGGAGCAGCATGTATATGGATAAATAAATCAGAAAAAAAAAGGTTCACATCTACAAAGTGAATGATATCTTTGATGTCTGAAGTTTATGCAAGTTTGAGGCATTGTCCTGTTTTTCTGGTTTAACTCCAGCATTTTTGATATTAAAAGAATAAACAGAAACTTTTTCTGCTGTTTGTTTACAATAGTGTAGAATCACCAGACACAAAAACATATTTCAATAGAACTGCTGATTAGGACTTGTTGGGGGGACCAGTTGTGTGTGGGTGCAGAAAGTATTTGTACTGCAGCACCTTGAGTTAGATTTAAAAGAATCAGCCCAACACATGCCTCAGCTTTTTATTTTGGTGAGTACTGGGCTGGGATCTTCTGAGACTGGTAAAAGTTATTTGTGTGGGGTTTTGGTAATGTTCACAAAGCAACCACTTGGTTTTGTGGTCCTGTTTACCTGCAGTGACTTTTCAGATCAAATAAAATCTGAGTTCAAAAGAGATTTCTCCTGATCTCCAAATGAATTAACTCCCTAGAGGTTACAATCTTGTTCCTAGATCATTTTGCCAGTCTGTGAAAAACTTACCTAATGTGTAAAAGATCCTGGTCATCAGGCTGATGCCCACAAACATTGAGAGCCAGCCAGCTGCACGGAGGGCCCAGGTCTTCATGGTGTTACCCTCCTGCTCCTTCTGAAACACCTCCTGAAAGCAAACACCATCACATGCAGCCTGTTTCTTGTTCTTTTTCAAGATCCTCTTAATTCCAGTACATTATGAGCCAAGCAGAGCCAAGAGCACTTTAGGAGTACAACTACTCTTGCAGAAAATACATTGCAGCTCATTCTGCAAGGTCTGTGCAGTATGGCAGTACACTGCAATAGACTGAACAGTGCAGCATGGGGGAAACTTGGCATTTCATAACTAAAACAACCTAAAAAGCATCATTCAACACTACCCACAGGCAGAAAGCACTCAGGTTTTGCTGCAATTGGACACATTCTCCTTCCTGTGGAAAATAAGACACTAATAAGTAACTGTCATAAGGAAGGAAGAGTCTGACTTCACTCTGAAGGAAGAGAGAAGAGGCAATATCCACTGATGGCTGAGGGAAAGGTGTGTAAAGTGTGTGAAAGAGAGCAAGCTGGATACAGGGAAGAAACCTAAAAGGTATGTGTGCATTTCATCAGGCAAAGCAAAGCATCTCTTTGCACAAATTCTGATTAAGATTCTTTCCAAGATGGGCTGTGTGACCCTCTGGCTCAACAAAATGTTCACATGAAGATGGCTGGGACATTAGAAAGCACTAAATGCTAAGAGATGTGTAAGACTGACTATTTGCACATACAAGTACTCAATGTATTATTTATTTGTAACCAGTTCATTTTCAATGAAACAATTCTGTCTAATGAAGATTTGGAGCTTAGAGCAGAGGGTTGATTCTGCTGCTACTCTTTCAAGTCAGAACAAAGGCTTTCTAACTGCTTTTGGGAGCACCTGTAAACTCCTGACATCTGCTTTCTTTGCAGCAGGGCATGGAACAATCATTAACGGAAACAAACCTACTAAAAGAGGTAAATGAATCACCAAATTGCTGGAGCATGCAGGATTTATTGAAGCATAATGCTCTGCCTGAAGGGTCTTTCTCAGCCAGAATAGTAATAAACATTTCAAACAAGCCTAAACTCCTGTTATTAGGAGCTAAAAAGAGAATAACTCTAATGGTTTATTTAACTAAACCCTGATTTTTACTATTTTTACATGTGACCTGTTCAAAAGCATGTGCTTGCATGTGTAAGTGGGAAACAATCAAGGAGCAAATAACAACAAAATGAGAGGGCACAGAAACAATCTTTCAAGAAAACAGCCAGAATGTGCAGAAACCTGGAAGCAAACACAGGCTACAACCTGCTGTCCAAGAAAGAGAGAGAAAAGCCAATGTTTATATGAGTATCTCCTCCTCTGGAGCAGGTCTGAAGGAGACCAAGAGCTTCATCTTCTGCTGCTTCTGCACTTCCACCTCAGCTTTTAACCCCTCACTAGAAGAATGTGGTATCTCACCTCCACAGAGAGGTCCCCAGGGTACAGAATCTCCAGAACATCTCCAGACTTGGTATGATATGGAACCAGTTGATCACCTCGCTGCCGAGCAATCACAGTCACCTTGGCAGAGAGGGAAAAATATTTACTGGTTTCTGAGGTGGGAAGAGAGTTGCAAAATACAGAAACAGCTGAAGACCCACCCTGTCAGCAGAGCCCAAATGGGGATCATCTTCACTCAGACCTGCATAGAAGAAAGAGACACGAAGGTCTCCCACCTACAAACAAGAGAAGATTGGAAGTCAAGAAAGATTGTTTTACAAAGGGGAATCACAGGAAAGACAACTGAGCACAGGAACATCCTTTATTTATCAACACTTTTTCTGAACATTTATGTCAAGCAAGAGATAGCCAGAATGATTTCCAAGCTGTCCTTTTTTTCAGGGCTAGTTGGCCACTGAAACATGAGAGCTGAAACGTTGTTTTGTAATATCCCCTCTGATTAAGCTGCAGGAGCACATGATATGCTTTGTTCATCCCTCATCATTCCATCTTTTGGCAAAACAGGGCAGGCAGCACAATGTGACAACAAGCTGTTTGTACTCCTCAATAGGGCAAGGCTGAGGTGGAACCCACCTCCCAGCACCATCCCTAAAAGCACAGCAGACTCATTAAAACAGAGAATAAAGAAGTGGACTGGAAGCTTTCTGCAAGAGAAGCACTCATTCCCTACGGCTGCACTAAGGGAGTCATCCTATGTGATGGTCTGCACTCCATTTTCTATACATTTCAACAGAAATAAGACATGCCCCAATTTCTTTTTCACACACAGGTAATCAATCACTGCTTTAGTTTCTCTTTCCCATCTTACCTCTGGACGCCTGGGGTTGTCACTGTGATAGAAATAATTTTCTCTTCGGGTAACATCAGCATGGGGATCCTCCAGGTGTGACAAGCTCAGCTGCTTGAAATCATCGATTCTATCCACGAGACCTAAGCAGAACAAAGCACCAAGCTGAGGCCCAGTGTCTAACGTGGAATGGCCAATTTGCTGGCTGGCTTCCTGATTATCACTTGACATGACAGCTATTGTGGAAAGAACCAAAGTCCACTGCTGATGCAACAGCAGACACAAAGCCAGTACAAAACAACCCTTACCCTTGGAAAGAACAAAGCTGCCAACCTGGACGTTAGGAGAAACAGCAGTGAAAGACTCCACAGCCATGGCACTGAGGAACAGAGAGAGTCCCTGATTAGTCCCAGGATTATGATCAAATTCTTGATTTGCAGTATGCAATATATAGAACAGAAAAGGTACTGGGGCAAATATCAGGAGAAACTCAAAGAGCTAAAAATGACTGTCATGATGTGAAAACAAATCCATGAAGAGACTGTCTAGACTGTATACTGCTGCAACCATAAAAACAAGTTAAGGCATCACTCTTGGAGCTGCTCTAATTTCTTTATGTCTTCATTCTCTCATCTACCAGAAGAGCAGCAGTTTCCATTTACTGCACTCTGTTATGAAATCAGTCATTTAGCTTTCATACTTGCTCAGATCCAGTGACAGAGTTCAGGGGGACTGTGCCAGATGGTGCCTCACCTCGGGTTTTTGTGTCCAATTTCTCGATCAAAATTTCTGCTGTTCACAACTTCTGATTTCCACTCTGTATCTAAACAGAATGATAAGGTTGAGTAAAGGACACTCAGATCTCAGTTACTGAAGACACCTCTCAATCATTTAGTTCTAGGTTACACTTTTAGTAATACTGTTGACATCAATGTCTATCATTGCACTGATACACAGATCCCTCCTCCTAGCATGTTAGCAGGGAATGGCAGAATTTAGGGTGAAAAAAGGTATTTTTGGGATAAAATTGTAACTCAACTTTGCTCAGATTTTTTTTTTGGCATGTTCCATGATCAGGCTTTAATTCCTGGCTCCGCTCTTTGGGAATAAACTGGCTTTGTGATAACAAGGAGCAGGGGGCAAAGGGAGAGGAGTCTGGAGTGAACTTGAGCCCAGGAAAGGTTGAGTCCAAATGTGTTTTGCAAATACACAAGTCAGTAATTAAATATTTATTTTTATTGATCATAAAATTTCCCTAAGGAGAGTCTGTTTTGCCCATGGTAGTAATTGGAAACCCATCCCCTTATATTTCTTTCAACCTGTCCTTCACTCCTGTCATTCCCAATTTCTTGCCCAGTCCTGCTGAGGGGAGAGTAATCAAGCAGCTGTGTGGGTCCATGGTTGGCATACATGGACATTTATGGGACAGAATCCATCAATCTTGAGAGGACAGCTGATTTTTTAGATGGCATTTCTTTTTGTTCCCTATCACTGTGAGCCTGTTTTCCATGGCTCACAACCAGCAGCTTTGCCCCTCATGTACCTCCATGGCACAGGGTCCCCATGCTTCACTCAGCTGAGCAGTTATATGATCACACCCAGAAACTGCTGCACGCCCACGCTACACATCCATGTGCTTTGATCAGAGATAAATGAAGCACAGAGACCAATCTCCAAGCACACAATGACTCAGAGTGCTTTTCTGCCACTGGGTAGATCAGAACAACGCACTCAGTTCTGCTCCTGCCAAAAAAGCACTTGGCAAAAGCCACAGGGCACATCAGAAGGTGCTGGTGGTTTTCACTGGCTGGTATCAACATCTAAACAGGTTCTCAACAGGCTCCCTTACAGGCTGGAGCTAACCTGCTGTTCCCTGTCTATTCTCCTCTGCTCACAGTTGACATATTCCCAATCACTCCATGTCTGAAGTGTAATCTTAGGTGGAGCTTCAAACATACTCCCATCACTGGTCATTGAGGACCTTATGGGCCCTATTTCTGAAGCATCCTATCCCTGGATGTTCCTCTGAACTTTCAGGGGTTTCAAAACAAGACTCAGATTTTCTGTAGCCCTTGCTTGCTGACAACACATCTCCTTTCACCTCAGTTAGCTCAGGAAATAAAAATCAAAATACACACACACACACAAAAGCTCAAAGTTACATGCATAAAAGAGACTTTCTGTTGATCAACTTACTGTATGAATACTTTGTCTCTTTCTTAATCTCACCATCCTCCTCATATTCCCTGCAGAGAAAAAGGGCTGGGATGAGAACCAAACCAGTGCACACACACCCCTGCTCAGGGCAGAATCCACTTCACCAATGAAATGCACAGACAGATCTCTGGCAATACAGACTTTTACATCATCTAACTCTTCTCTGAACTACCTGTTCTGAAGACAGAGATTTTTCTGTACCAGGAGAAAACTGTACACAAATGCTCAACAGCCACAGCCTTTTTATTCCCACATTTTGAACAAGGAGGTGCTAACTAGATTGATGAGGAACAAGAATTAAGTACAGTGAGATAAACTGGCCAAATCAAGTCTCTAACAGATGCTGCACCATAAGCACGTTAAAACTGAGAAATCATTTTTCACACCTTCACTACCTCTAACCTTTCTTTTATATGACATGAAAGACATTTGGCATATAAATTCTGTGCAGTCACACCTACATAATACATACTACCATCAGTGGAATATTAGCAATAGCAAGAAGGCTTTCCCTATTTGGGTTGCAACTATTAGCAGAGCAGTTAACATCTCTCAAGGAAATTAAAGTGATTCTCTAAAGGAAAAAAAATCCAAGAGTTCTAGAATTCTCTGGCTATGAAGAGGGATTTTTATTTGGTTTCTTTTTTCCCCTTTGGTATAAGGAAAGGAAAAAAATTGTGATAGGATCCTGGTAACACAACAGCCTCAAACTACTTTTAAAGATTATTTTCACTTACTTTGAGTCTTCATATTCAACCCACTGGTACATTTCCACGTTACGCTTGAGTTTGACAGCTTGGATGGAGAGCCCATAGCTGGGGTCAAACAAAGGCTGTGCAAAAATTAAAGAAAATGCAAGTCAGTCTGAATGCTGAACGTCACAACCTCAAATACTGTGCTTTTACTACTGAAACTATTTACATATCTCACTGTTAATATTTACATATCTCACTGTTAATATTTACATATCTCACAGCTAGCACTATCTCACACACAGGTGAACACAGTATAAATGTTTGAAAGACAAAAAGGAATGTCTCTGGCAAATCTGACCTGAAGAATCATAATCAAATGTTATTGTCATAGTGAAGAATGAAACTAGAACTGCTGACTATGGGTTTACAGTTGTCAGTGTTTAAACCAGGAGATTCTGTTTTGCTGGAAGGTGCTGTGTTACCTTCTGCAATGTGGGTGGACCATGGAAAATGTTACCACTACTGAAAAGTAAAAACTTGCAGAGCTCCTGTGCTGCAAGAGCCTGAAGACTTCACAATATCATAACACACAACAGATTCCCTACACAAATGGCAATTGAAATTATCCACAAAAGGCAGCTTGAGGGTAAACACAGCTACAGCTTGGCTTGAAGAAGGGAGTGCAAGGCCATTCAGCATCTCCTTGATTCCAGGCCAAGAACCAGAGCTTGAGTGGTAGCTGCCAATGCATAGAGGAGGAGAAAAGCCATGTTTTTTTTTCCTGGACATCAAACAAAACTTTAATTGGCAAAGACTTTTCCTTCCCTCCAAGCTTGAAATACTCATATCCTTCAAGATTCTATTTTATTTACCTTAGATGTACTCAAAGCTCCAGCCAAGTGCACCAGTCTCCCCTCATTCTGCTGAGAGATGCTGTGGATGCTGTCAAGAGGGACCACAAGAGAAAGCCCCTCATCAAGAGACCTGGCTGTCCTTAAAGCTCGCCCCTGCAACAAACAAAATAGAAATCAGCTTGTGGAGAATCAACATCACAGCAGCATTTTGTGAACATGGTTAGCAGACAAGTGAACTGATGACCACAAGGAATGCTTGTATATTCAGCCCAAGGCATATTTTGGAAACACACCTGTACTTCTCCATTCTCTGTCTGAGCCACTTTGGGGCAGTACTTCTCAGCCAGGCAGCAGGACCACTAACACCAACTAAGCTTCTCAAACAGACCCAGATTCTTCCTACATGGATCCAAACTTACTGCTCTGCAGCTCTTACCTTCTTCATCATTCCTGAATAAATGCAAAAATGATACAAATTACAGTTCATTTTCCACGCAGCTATATTGGCTCCTTAGGAGAAGTTTTCCCTGCCTCACCATCATATCCTGATGTGCTTTTTTTCTGCAAAGTCATCAAAATTTGGAGTAGTTATTTTTCCTCTTGTAGAGGTATGAAAAGAAGTCTCTAAGTGAAAATCCACAGAATTCTGCTATCCACTCAAAAATTACCAAAAGAAGTATGTTTTCAATGGTAGGGTCTTAAGATTCCAGGCTAACTTTTTTTTTTATTGTATCTAAAACCAAGAAATAATACTGAGAAAAAAACAAATAAATAACTACTCCAATTTTGCAACATGGGGTATGAATTTCTTTAAAGTAATTGTAACACCACTAGAAATGAGGACCTTTTGTTATCTCAAGAAAAAAAAAAGGGCTGGCTCATGCAACCCTCTTAGCACAGGCTGTTTCATCATCAGTTTACAAGCTTTGTATCTTATCTCTCATCACACACTGCTACTGTCTCTACTCTGCCTAGTTCCACAGAAATACTACCTGTGGCCTGTGATTTCACTTTTCTGTTATATCCTGAGCATAAGCACCAGGTCCCCAGACCAAACCTCCTCTTCTCATGGGTCAAGTAATAATACTGTGTACAAACACTGACAATATTGCACTTACTTCATTGGTAAAAAGAACGTAGAAAGCCAGAAGAAACGTCACAAGTCCAATCAACATGCCTCCAGAGGTCTCACTGAGCCGCTCCAGGAACCCTGGTTTGGGCTCACTTGTGACTTTAACATGCTCTTTTCTGCTGCTGCCTGGGTCAGAGAACTGTTGAAAATAAACCAAAAGTGCAATATTGGTGTAAAAGGGGAAAGCATTCCGTTTCAAAACAAGTTTTCTAGCTTTGCTAGCACTGCTGTCCTACAGCCCAGAACCCCTTGCCTTGGACCAAAACTTTCCCACACTGACTAAATGCCTTACCACACTTTTGATACCAGAAACATATTCAATAAATAAAACTTCAGCCTGCTAGAAAAAAAACTCAATTTCTATTATAGTGGTTCTACATTTTCAAGCTTTCTTCGGTCTGCCTCCCAGTTCTGTATTTGGAGTCCACACCCTGCATTCAGGCCATGGCAAAATGAGTAATAGCCCTAAATTCCTGACCAGCTAAAACACTGCTATAAATAACAAATTATGATTCATCTCACCAGTAAAAAAAGTGCCTGCACAGTCTAAAATAATTATATCCAGGGTAACAAAAACTCAAAACAAGGCACAGGACTAACATGAGAGCCCAGGGGTTTATCTGTGCATACACAGCTAGTGGGGAGTTACCAAATCCAACGCAGCAAGGCAGGACATGGCACTCCTCTGTGCACGGAAAATCACGCTACGAAAAGCCAGTGTGCATAGAGGAGGCAGAGAAGTCCTGCAATTTTATTCGAATAGAGGGAGAGTCCACCCGGGGTTTTCTCTCTCGAGGTTTCGGAGGGCACAGCCTCCTTTCATCCTGAACTCCCAGCCGCATATTGCCCTTTTCCTTTCCCCACTGGCTACTCAGAAGGTAGACAGAGCCTTCCCGAACCGCCTCCCACATATCCCCCACCTTGAACCTACTGTTTTACCCCAAAGTTCGGAAGTTCAGGCTTGTGCAGAGCCACTTTCTGTGTCAGGAGCCAAGCTGCCTCAGCTCGGCAACCAACCTGCTGCCCAAAGTCAGTAGACATTAAGACCCATTTAAAAGACATTAACACCCACACCTTCACCCATCGAGTTATTAATAAATTAGCACACACCGTCCCTCTCATCTAGCTCATTCGGAGATGCCTGGCGGGCTGCGACCGCCACAGGGCCCTGGCGCAGCCCGGGCACATCGGGGGCGAGCGGGCCAAGCCGGGCGGACACCGCACGGAGCAGCGGCGGGGCCGGAGCAAACAGCACTTACGTTCCTCGACATCCTGAGCCTCTCACTCCCCCGGGAACCACAACTCAGAGACCGCCAGAGCCGCGCACCGCCAGCCTCGCCCTCATCCGCCTCAGGGCTCCCCCGCCCCCGAACCGCTCCCCGCCCGCAGCGGCGCACGCCGGGACGCGTAGTTCCCGCCGCGGCGGGGAAGTCCTTCCTTCCTCCTTCCCTTCCCGCCTCTGTCTCTCTCCGCCCTGCGGCCGGGCGCGGGGCAGGCGGGAGCTGTAGTGCGGCGGGGCCGGGCCTGGCGGAGCCCCCGGCCGGCAGGAGGTGCGTCAGCGGCCGCCTCGGGGCCGGGAAGGCGCTTCCGGAGGCGGGAGGTCGCGGCGTGGAGCGGCGGCGCGGAGCTGCCCGAGCGGTGCTGGCGGGACGGCAGGAGCGGAGCGGCGGGGCCCGTGTGCGGCGCGCTGCGGAGGAAGGCACCGGCCGGCTCCGCCATGTCCTACTGCAGGCAGGAAGGTGCGCCCGAGTCTCCTCACAATGTCACCCCGCCGGGCGGCCTCGCTGTGAGGCGGGCGGGGGTGGGTGCGCTGCAGGGTGACCGCCCGTTTCCCTGAGGGGAAGGTGCAGCCGGAGCAGAGAGGAGGTGCGGCAGCCGCCCGCGGTCCGTGTGTGGCGGCGGCAGCGCTGCCTCGCCTCCTGCCGCGACCTTTCTCCTCACGGAGGGCGGGAAGGGCGGCGGGGCCATGAGGCGGCAGCGCGGTCCCGGGCGTGTGGGGACAGCGAGGCCCCGCGGCGGGCCCGGAGGTGCCCGCAGGGACCGTGTGTGGCTGAGGCGGGCGGGCAGGGCAGCTCCCGGCCGCGGAGCGCCTGCTGCCCGCAGGGGATACATTTATCCCAGCCTAGCTGAGTGGCCTGAGGTATGGGGATTTGCCTTTTGAAGGTCGATGGACAGGGCGGTAGACTGCGAGCTTTTCTATATCTGTATCATGTTGTACAGGTGGTGGTATTTATGAGGCTTGACCACCTCTTAAAGTGGGAGATGCGTAGGTAAATGTCTATATCTACATATATATATATATATATATAAAGATCCTTGCTCTCTTAAGTCATGTAAAGTGGCTGAATGTAACGTTTCAGACTGGAAAAAAAGCGCCAATAGTTCTAAATGCCATTTTTATGTTACAAAGTTGGCCACATACTATGAGCTGTATTGAGGTGCTCATAATATATGGACCTCTTTTACACTTTATGTTGTGCTTTCTTTAATTTTGCAAGATCTGTAAGTTGCTTTATGCAACCCTACAACATTGCAGTGATGAAGTTAGAGTTCATGTGTTTCTAGCTCCCTTCATATAATAAATGACCGAACATTCCACATTGTAAAGTTTGCTGGAGTACAGTGCAGAGTTGTCAGAAAACTCTTTCTGTTTTTTAAAAGGTGTTAGATTTATCTGTTTTTCAGACGTGTCTAAATGCATGGTTACTCAGCAAGGTTAAGTTACTGAACATCTGCTGGCTGAGGTCACACTGAGGGCCCAGGAGATTCTAATTTCTCATATGCCAAGTTACAGTAGTGGCCTGTATGAATTTGGAGAATTCTTGGGGAATTTACAATTTTTTCCACACTCAGAGTGTGTGTTACAGCTTTGCAGGGTTGTTAGAAAACTAAAACTACTGAAGTTTCCAGCTAAGCCTCCCCTGACCTTGCTGTTTAGTTAAATCAAGAGCAGGAAATTTGCTCCACTGGATTTCCATCCCTTGTAATGTTCACAGCACCTTTCAGTGTAGTTAGTTCTGTATGGTGATGGCTGTCCTCAGTTTTTTTTCAGATAATTATAATTAGTGTAAAATACTACACTAGTCTTTAGCAAAAACCTCTGTTATCAATAAGTTCCTGTGGAACCCTTTACTTCTATTTATTATAGTTTCACTTTTTTTTTTTGATTCTAAACCCGTCACCTGTGTTAGTCATGGTGTTGGAATAATTTGAGTTTGTTTTGAAACAGCCTTTTAACTTAGCAGTTTAGTGAACTGTACTGTTTATTACAGGACATTGCTATGAAAATTGGAGCTTTAGAATAACAGAATTTCAGTGTGTATATGTTCCTCTGAGCTAGTAACTGTTCTTGTTGAAGGTGATTAAATACAGCAGTTCCTTCTCAATATTATTGAATCACATTGAAAGTCTCATTACCTTGTGGTGTACAGCAGTTTTGTAAATGACTCTTTTCTGTCTGAGATTTCTCTGAACTTTTGCCTCTTGTCTCCTCCATGGTAGGAAAGGACAGAATCATATTTGCAACCAAGGAGGACCATGAGACACCGAGCAGTGCTGAGCTGGTTGCAGATGACCCAGATGACCCTTATGAAGAACAAGGTCAGTAGTGAGCAGAAGAACAGAAGTAAGGTGTGTTACATCATGCAGAAATCCAACACAAAACAAACCCTGCATGAATTAGAAAAAATTTGAGCATATTTAAAGACTGAGGGCAGCTGGTTATGCAGTAAATACCCAAACCCTTGGCAGTTTTATCTGCCAGGTTAGGACATCACTAATGACACATTTTCTTCCAATATTTCTTTTTCTACACTTGTAATGATTTTTCTTAGTGGCCTGTTCAGATAATCAGTTGATGGCTTTTAGTTTTGATTAGTGGTCAGAGATATGGAGGGATACCTTTTCCTTTTATTAATAAAGTTTGAGCCTAATCAAGTGAAAATTATGATCATTTTTCCTCTATTTTAGGTAACAGCAGGCAATTTTCAGAGAAGCTGGAGTGAGTTACATATTATTGTCATTGATGTGAGCTGCTCACTTGTCTGTGAGCAGCTGAAATTGCCTAATATGGCAATCTCTGAATATCTGATTTAATATAAATCAATATCTGGCTAATACTATAATGGTAGCAATATAATCAATATCTTTAAGTGCCACATGATGGGTAAGTTAAAATTATTGAGTTTTCAACCATAATCATCGTGCCTTGAAAGGATAAAAGTTTTCATGAAGATTACAGTTCTTGTACAAAGTATATCTGACCTGCAAATAGAGATTTAAGAGAGCAGAACACTTCTGAGACCAAGACTTGGAATATTCTAGTTGTGTATTTTAAGTAATGGGTAAATGAAATATACTTCCAATAATGATGATTTAATACATTTTGCCCTGGGTTAATAATTATCATGAAAATGTGAGTTTAGGTTTATTTTTTTCTAATTGCCTCTATGTTTGCAGGTCTTTTGGTCTCTTCACTTTGTGTGAAGGGATTTTATTGGTTTCAGCTCAACTGAAGCTCAAGTAAATTCTTCAGACTCTTTGAAACTTAGAAAGTGAAAGTTATTCTTTCTAAAGTGTCTCAGAGACCTTTAGAGGGCAGCATTTAAGCAGTTTAGCAGCTGGAGCTCACAGGGTCTCATTGTTAGCTGATATGGTGTGTACTGTAATGTGAACCACACCTTCCTACGTCATTAAAATGAACTTTTTTCATACATAGATTTGTGTGGAAATATTACTGCATTTATCTGCCTATTTATCTGCCTTCATTACAACTGTATGTAGTCAGTTATATATCCTAAAGCTTTTCTCACTTGCAGTGATAAGTCTGTTGATGTGCTGGTGTCACATGTATTTGGGTAATGGTTTGTTTCCTAGCAGTCCTGCACTTACAGAATGTCAGGGCCCTTTCTTCCTCAGCACTAGATCAGAGAAGAGAGGGGGAAAGCCAGGAGCTTTTTGTCACCTCACAGTGACAGTGTGTCTGTGGGATTCAAAATGAGAAACTATAAACTATGTTTAGGTACTGTCAATAAGTTTGGGTGGGCATTTCTTGTGGTGTGATTTTCTTTGTTAATTTGTTGAGTTTTCTTCTTAGCATGTGGTAAATTACTGCCGTGTTTTTAAGTGAAACACCTCCTGAATGACCCGGGGCTACAGTGCATTAGATCAGAGGAGAGAAAATGGACATATCACAGACTGTAGCAGTAGGGATGGAGCTTATGGGCAGGAAAGACATGGGTGGAATGGTTTGAAATATGTTGAAATGCTGAAGCTCTGGCTTGCATGGCTTTTATTTAAAAGAAAATTGGGAAAAGTGTTGCTGTACCTAATGTAACATGCAGGCTTTTCTAATTTAGCTTCTGCTTGGAATAGAAGACTTGGTTCAAATTGTGTTGTATAACTTACTCTTTTTGTAAGGACTCTGCTTTGCCAGAGACCAGTCATATCTGGGAAAGAATAGATGCGTTATATAGACCTGCCATAATCTACATTATTTTCTAATACACCTCAAATTTACACCTAATACACCTCACAACCTCAGACTTTAGGTTGTGAGGTGTTTGAAGTTTTGTTTTGTTGTAGGGGCCGTTTTCATACTTGAGATAAACATCTAGTTTGGTATTTGGTAATTTTTGGTAGTTCTTATTTTGTCCCAGACATTAACAGACATTAGTCTTTGAGCAGTCTACTTGAATCAGTAGATTGGTCAGGAAAACTTGTGTTCTGTTTCCCTTAGGATAAAAACCAGTTGTGTACTCCTCTTATTTCTGTCAATATTTTGTTGTTGTTGTATCAGCTGGGTGAGTTTGGTAGGCAAAATGTTAATGACTCACTTTAAGCTAAAAACACTGAAAGAAAAAAGCCATGAGAAATGAAAAGGCAGACAAACAGAGTAAGTTCAGGTTAGGATTTCATACTGCAGTGAAGATCACAGTTCACTGTCTGTGCTTTTTGGCAGCTGTGGCTGATGGAAACAAATTAAGGATTCATTTGCAGTGGTTTTGAAATAATACTGTTACTGTAAAGCATCTTTCTAGTCCTATGTGTTGCAGATGGTGGAATTTAAACATGAAAGACTCCTGGTTTTCACTGACATCTTGGCTGCCTTCAGTTCGAACATTTTTTTATTTTATTAAGCTTATATGAAGAAGGCAATGATGAGTTTTATGCATGCAAAGTGGTTTTTATTAGTGTTACAGCTGTGATGGGAAAGTTGGATAGAAGTACTTATAGAATTGGACCTCAGACACAGATTGTTGCTGGTCTTTCCCTTCAGTTTTTCCAGACTTGTTCCTGTCATCTGATTTTATAAACAGTTTTAAAGTGGTTTCTAGAGGGGACTGATGAAGCCAAACTCCACGTTCTTGTGAGAAAGAACTTGATGAATGATGACATGTACAGGAATGTTTCTGTGACTAATGATGTCCCTTTCAATCCTGCTTCCTGTCATCTTGCACTGTGAATCCCTGGCAGATAAACTTGTTATTGGATGTGTTTGTCATGTTACAGGGAAAAAACTCTTCTCAGAACAGCAGTGGGACT